TTCATTGAGATAGCTTTTATAGCTCTTACGTTACATGAAATAAAACAGTGTCGAGTTTTTTGGGGGGACACCCGGTAGTCAAACAACAGTTGCGCCCACCTATGCATAACTTTAACCTTGATCCAAAAGTTAACTTCGTTTCCACCCAGATTTTCGTATATTTCTGCCGGGCCAACGTTATTGCAAACAACAACATCCATATCTCCATCATCTAATAAAGATACCAAATTATAATTACATCATAGAATTACATTATTTTTAAAATACTCATTAATAATTCATAAACCTTGTGGCAAGTCATGTCAGCCATAATATGTCACGTGAAGTGACTTTATATCTGATAAAACACATGTGGCATTATATAATTGTTCATCCTAATTAGCATGATTATATAATGGTTCATCCTAATTAGTATTCTTTTGTAGTTGTATTTTAAGCTATTCAAAACACTCGTTGTCGTGTTTTATCAGATATAAAACGCTCGGCTGCACCTCGCGTTTTATATCTGATAAAACACTCCTACTCGTGTTTTAAATAGTACATAATCTGTAGCTTACACTTTTTATCAAGCAAATTTTACTAGCTTAAGATGAAACACCTCCGAATATTAACATCTTGGAAACTCAAGATTCGAGCTATTAAAAACAAGATAACAACCTAGCCTCCTCCGCAGGCCTCTCTATGGGTTCTAGCCTACGAATGGGTTTTGAAAAAAAAATTTCTCCCACCACCCGATCGTCGGGTGAGATGCCTGCGGAGGAGGCTAATAACAACCTTGAATTTTGTTAGTTTGTTTTATGTAGCTCGAATCTTGAGTTTATAGGATGTTAATATTCGATGGTGCTTCATCTCTATTTACGACATTGTCTGCAGGTGAAGGATTTTACTGGTTTAATCGAAGACAAAGTCAAGCGACAGTGTAAATCTCTGTTTTTAAATCTGTTACTTCTATAACTGCACGCTTTAATTTCCTTTTACGATATATATTAATATGAGGAACTACACATTGGTAATGACAATATAGGATTACTAATTAGAACATTAATTTCCTAAATAGAATATTAACCTATTTTGTGTGGCAGCACTCTCCACTTGATGAGGAAAATCGTAATTTAGACAGAATAAAATAATAAAATAGGGCGCATCAGGGGTATTGTCACATAAAGGGTTATAATGACTAATGATGAGCCAATTAAGTTTCATAATGAATAATATGATAATTACCATCAAAATCCCATTTGAGTAAACCTCTTCCTTGCTTTGTCGAGTTCATCCCAAGTTCTTGCGAAACCTGGCAGAAAGAATTTGTCAATTTGCATTAGTTTCATTCTTTGTCGTATTCTATTTAAGTAATGAATCATAAGCTTGATGTAATTAAATAGGGCGACGCACTCGCTGTAGGACATGATAGTTTTTTAAACCGACCTCTTTGGTTTTGCCATTAAATCCAGCGCCTAGATTTTTCCAAAGTCGCATTCGTTGGAGGTTAAAATGGTCATCCGTTGTCGTTGTCGGGAGATCTATTCCTATTGAGTAAAAAAAACACATTTGAATTAATATATAACCATCATAGTGCTTAGTATAAAAATGGCCTTACTATGAAAATGTCTGTGTTTAACACTGCTCAACATCACTCCTGTGATGGCGCCAGGAATTTTCCGACGAGGTGGATAAGGTCACTGACGGGGGGGGGGGGGCTAAATTTTTACACAAAACGTTTGTCTAATCTGTTCAATCTGGGCCTGGTGGATTTTTGAATTTTGAGTCTCTGAAACGGTATTTCCTGCATTTTGAGGCTACTTTGCGGCAGAATACAATTTTCTTACTATAAAACTATGTACAAACACACACTTGTTATAAAACATAGTTTCAAGGGGGGACTCTCTGTTTCCTCCTCTGTCTCACCCCCATTCCCCTTTGGAGACACCCTTGCAATAGACCAATAATTAAGTACTGTTAAATAAACGAGCAGGAGTGTTTTATTAGGTTTAAAGTCACGAGCGCGAGTGGCTTTAGACGGCTTCAAACACGACTACAAATTGAATAGATATACTGCCTTATTAGTATTCTTTATATAAAGAGTACTAATGAGGACACGACTACAATAGATTCTGCCTTATTAGTATTCTTTATATAAAGAATACTAATTAGGAGTGTTTTATCAGGTTTAAAGCCACTGCACGTGACATATTATGGTTGACATGATTTGCCATTAAGCTTATGAATTATTAATGAGTGTTTGAAGGGGTACGTAACCCTACTGAACCTCTAGGGAAAACAATTTAGAACTAATAGAGCTATCCAGTATAAACAAAATTATTTAGTTAGTGTTTCATCCAATAGCAACACTGTACAAATGGAGGTGAACCTTATAGTGGACCTCTGTATTCAGAGTGTTTGAAACTAATACAGAGCCATCCAGAAATGAGTTTGGTGTGAACATATATAATGTAAACCTACCATTAGTCATAACTATATCCTGGTAACCATCATTGTTAAAATCCAAGAACGCTCCACCCCAACCCCATCCGCCATCAGCCACTCCTACCTGAAAATAATACCAAGATATGCATGACAAGTTCGATTAAACAAGAAAACTATTTTGGGAGAATAAGTAGCTGTGTGAGTTTAAATCCGATTCAAACAGCATGATGTTGTGGTACGTTTGGGGCCTTTGGTTCTATTCTCGCTCCGAGGTGAGCTTCACGAACTGCAGCTCCGTTACGAACTTTGTATTAGAACTAGTTAATGTATATTTTACCGCATGATAAATGCGCCATTTTGTTTTGTTAATTGCATCTTTGAATGTCATCCTGCATGCCACTTTTAAAATCTCACGGAGATCACCACATTCGCCCAGCAGACAACTTAATGGGGAACGTACAATGTAATAGATTTCTTGCCTGATTTGTTTATATTCTTTGTGAGTGTAGATGGTTTTTTTTTGCATATACATGTTTTAACCTAACCAGAAGCAGTTGCGAAAAATGCAACTATAGGACATCTGGTTGGAATCGAACCTGCGGCCCATATATATATACAAGAATTTGTGGTTAGAGCTCGACTTGTGGCTCGGTTAGAGTGCTGCACTGGAATCGCAGGGCAGCAGGTACGATTCCTGCCGGAGGGCCTATAGTTGCATTTTTGGCAGTTGCTCCTGATTAGGTCTGCATATTGTATATATATATATATATATATATATATATATATATATATATATATATATATATATATATATATATATATATATATATATATATATATATAT